ATGATCAAGGCAGTCCCAGTCATGCATGATATTAACCCATGGCCCCCTTTTTGTGAAATAAGAGTAAACTCCCATGGTATATGTATGATTTAAAAAAACTTTCTCTATTAATGCAGAAGTGCATTTTGTATAGCTTTGGTGAAATAGACATGATATAACTCTTTACAGCTCTGTCAGTGCATCAAATCCATATATTCTTGTGCCATATAGATATGTTGGACAGGAAAAAGCATTGAAGCTTCATGCAGTTTTATATTTTTCTGAGAAGTTGCAAGTATATACAGTACATAAGTCACAGATTTGCCTAGGGCAAATGTTTCTAAATTTTCCTACAGGTTATACTACACTAAATGAGAATCGCTTGCTCACTGAGCTTAGATGTATGATAAACAAAATGAAGAGATAGAGACATGTGACAGCTGTGATTGGATGAAATAGTGTGAGATGTTTATGTTTTAAAAAGCATATCCAACCAGTAATTAAAACTGACCACAATTTTAAGTATTCAGTGCTGTGATTTCCATCACCATGACTTATGCTTATTGTGTGTACAGATATTTTCCAGTAGGTGACATTTGAGGTTAAGTGCGGATCTGGGGTTGATGTGTTCCTTTCTGTGCTCGCATAAACGAGCCGGACAAGTTGGCCAGATAGTGTGTTTTATGGTAGTTTAAAGGCCAGAGTGTACCCATGTGCACATGGAATGGCTGTTGATAGCCTGGATTATTTTTAAAAAATATAAGGCTACTATAGAAGTCTATGGGAAAACATTTGGTGTTGTGTAACCTAGAGCTTTCCCTGAGGAGTGACCACCCCCTTATAGAGTCTCCCCTTGATACAACTAACTGAAAATCGTTCCTCATATGACGTCACTGCAGTGCTCTGGCGACAGAGTTACGTAACCCGTCTGTGGTTTCGCTGGACGGGCGAGAGGGAAGCAGGGCGAGTTTTTGGCCACTTTTAATCGCTCGGTATTAATTAACCACAAAGTTTTAAAAGAATAAATTTGAATGTTCCGCATAAGACTAACCACAAATCTTTTCATATGTAATGGTTAAAAGAGTAACAAAACAAAGTTTAGTGGTTCTTTAATCCAGTCCACTCAAAGCACATGTGCTGCAACAAGGGGGCGTTCAGGTTACAGTCCATTTGAGTCAGAAACGGACCGATGAATTGCAAATTTTATCATTGTACAAAATTGCCACATAAATATAAATAGTACACATGTTTATCATTTACTAATACCCAACAGCTTTCTTATATTTGAAAATTTGCCGGACTCCACCAAAAAGTTGTTTAAAGAAATTATCATCATTGAAAACGCAAAAGTTGTTATCTGTCGCGGCGGGTGAAACTGCAGAAACGGAACAGCCACTATCTCTCGTCGTGCACGGGATACACATGCCTGATGAAAAATGAAGTTGAATGCTGACGTGAAACAGTTGATGATTAAAGTGTACGATTTTTTCCGTGCTGAAGCCGAAAGGCAAACCATTTTATACAATTAATAAATTCCGTAAGCGGGCAGCAAAAGCTTTAGGAGATTATCAGCAAGGTACTTGGACAAATGTTCTGGAACACAAACATTGTGAAAGTGATGCGAAGCAGGTAGGGTCGTGTCAAAATCACACAAATTAAAAGCATTTGGACAACTTTCAAAAGAACCTTGTAAGGCAGCCTATCAACAAGCTCTATTCTGAAAACAAATACATGTCGCTGAAAATTTTAAAAAGCATTTGAAGCAAAGAACACAACCTCAGAGTATCAAAGTACACACTCTGGCGACTCTTACACTCTTCGGGGTATCGTTATAAGAAAATTTCAGGGCAGAATAGTTCAGTACTCTGTGAACGCCCTGATATCGTTCCTCTCTTGAGAAATATGTTTCCCAGGGTTATAAAGAAGAAGCGCGAGGGAAGGGTTCGAGCCAGTGTGTATTCGGACGAGAGACCTGGGTCAATGCCTCGCACACTGCCAGCAGTCAGTGGGTACCCGATGGGGTGATAAGGGTTATGTAGAAAGCTGCCTCTAGGGAAAGGAGGAGACTAATCATTCTCCATGCTGGTTGCTTGCTCCAGCAAAGGCTTTCTCCCAGGCTGCGACTTGGTATTCAGGGCAAAGTCCACAGATAACAGAGACTACCATTCCGAGATGAATGGTGCGGTTTTCCCTCGATTGGGTTAAAACAAGTTGGTACCCAGCTCTACCAGAGAAGTCTTTTTATCGTAATGGACAATGCTGCCCATACCACAGCGTGCAGGACCCCGACAGTAAAGCCCCGACATCGAACAGTCGAAAAGGTGATATGATATCATGGCTCAACAAATTTCAGATCGCACGGCCTTCAAAGGCAACAAAGCCCTGCGTGCTATATGAGAACATAAAACCCACAAAGGTGAACCTTTCTACAAAGTTGACAGTTACATAAAAGTAAAGGGTCACGGTATTCTGCGACTTCCACCCTATCACTGTGACCTTAACCGCATTAAAATGATATGGGGTATTGTCAAAAGGAGATGTTGCCCGATCAAACACAACTTTTAGATTACGTGACGTAGACGTTTTGGTTAAGGGAATCCTCTAACAAAATCACGACTGAAACTTTGCACAACTATGTCAACAAGGTAGCTAACGTCATTGAACAAGGTTACTGGTCTCCGGGATGGCTTTACAACAGGCAACTGTGGCACCACTTGTCATCCCTTTAAGTCGTGACTATGACACTACGACGGACGAGGAACCGACAGGTCTCCCCGGAATAGATTTTGAGATGTCCCCCGCAATGACTGGCTGTTCCGTTTCTGCAGTTTTACCCAGCCCTCACTGCTCAACTCCGTTTACGGACGCGTCGATTAAGTTCGTCTCATAGATGCTCGATCGGGTTCAGATCAGGCAATTTGGAAGGCCAGGGAAGGACACTGACGTTTGCATTAGCGAGATAGACACGTGCGTTGTCGTGTTGAAACAGCCTCCCCTGGCGGTTACGTGGGAGGAGGTGAGGTCGCAGGATTTGGTCTATGTAGCGAGTTGCTGTAAGATCGCCTTGAACCACCGCTAGCTCTGATCTACCAGTGTAGGATCTTTGTTGTTACTCTCATATTTCTATAAGTGCCTATCTTCACACGGGCTACATGGCTTGTTGTAATGTGATATGGTATATACATACGCTTGCTCACATACATGTATAACAACCTTTCAGGAACGTTCTGAGCCATCCTAGATTGGTCTGTGGCTAAAAGATTCAGAACTGCACCTGACTCCAAAGTGAATGAAGCTACTGCTTACATTGAAAGTAACACACATTCCTGACAACTAATTATTGTTCCGACACAATATTATGACCTTCTGCTGAATCTTAACAAAAACGATGTAATGCAATTACAACACAGACCATGTAAACAAACAGGATGTCGGGCGGGAGCTAGCCGCCTTTGGTGGGTGTATTGTTTCTAAAATGATTTCGTACGCACAGGTTAGCAGTTGTCACATATAATATACGTAGCAGAAGGACAGGCAGGCATATATAGCAAATATATATTGCAGACACATTTTCAATAACTGCACGCGATAGTAGGCTAAAGACATTATGAACCAACCGTGACATGTCTGATATTGTTTCTCATGTAACATTTTGATACATGTGTGAATCATTTAAAGACTGTTGTAAGATATGTAACCAACACAACCCACCCCTTCCTCCTTTGGTCATTCCCTCACATCCCAGGCTGTTGAAATCTGTTGACTGGTTTCAAATCCCAGATACGATTACGATCCTCTGACAGTCATCACCAAACCCATATTCACTGGTTTCAAGAAATGGCATCCTCTAATAACACCCATCTCACTAACAGCACATACTAACTCCGCAATATCAAATGCCTGTACAATATTCCAGCAACACCAAAAAGGCGATGTTGTAGCCTAGTGGTTAAAGCATTTGCTCGTCATGCTGAAGACCAGAGTTCGATTCCGCACATGGGTACAATGTGTGAAGATCAGTTCTAGTGTCTCCCGCTGTGATATTGCTGGAATACTGCTGAAAGCGGCGTAAACCAAACTCACTCCAGCAACATCGCGGCGGGTACAACGATGAGAGGCTTCTCACAATGTATCCATGTCGGGAATCGAACGCTGTCTTCGAATTGAGTGAAAGTTATCATTACTATGGACATTAATCCAGTTATATCACGGCATGTCAGCTTGGTGTGGGAGGAAATCCCGAAGTAATGCAGGTCTCATAGTGCAGACCCTATGCATAATACAGAATACTACAGCTTGTTCAGCTTTACCTGATCTACTCTTACATATGCATGACCCAGGAGGTCAAATGGCACAAAAGGCAGGTCGAGTTAACCTCATTAAATAGGGGAGCAGAGAATGTTAAACGGCGACCTTGTCTCGGCTGTTCGGACATGTTGACAATCAACTGACAGATGCACCTTCAATAATAGACCCAACCAGTTTTGACACGGTCACGCAAAGAATTAGTATTCACTTGATCAGGTCAAGCTGAACAAGCTGTAAATGTAACAGCAAGTCACGCATGCATTTTATCGTCATTTTCAAACAGCTGTTATTTCCACTTAATGTGTGCTAATACACAAAACTGCTCGACTGAGTTATTTATATTTGGTTTATTCTTTGAGCAGTGTTAGTCAGTGACAGATTGAGGTTAAATACCTTCAATTCGGTTTGAGATATACCCTTATTAAAGAGACAGCATGTAAATAATTTGTAAACTATATTTTTAGAGATATCTTTCGGAGTTCGTCTAAATCCAACTTAAAAGGAAATAAACCTAAAATTCTGGGAAAAAGGAGTACACATAATAACTAAGAACAGGGAACACAATGCAGTTATTGTTGCACAACACATAGTCGAAGTCTGACGTAACTGATTGAGATTACGTTTCAGATGGTCTCCATTGATACACGGAAACAAATAAAATGGCGGACGGATAAAGCACGGTGGAGACCGCGGGAGCGTGCAAAGTTTCTCAGCTGATTTCGATTGGTGGAGGTAAGATGTTAAATGCAATTCACTTCTGGGGATGAGTGGTAGAAACAGTGGTGGGCTTATCTCTTCCTGTTCTTGCGATCAGTGACGAGCCAATGGTTGTACCTGGCCGAATATATATTTATGCATTATGTATGTGTATATTGAGTCAGGTAAAAGCATTGTTATCAAAATGACAATACTCCCCGGACAAATCAAGGGACCGTTCATAATTGCCATTGTGTCGTATTCTTGATTGAACTGTCAAGTGCTGTTGTATTAGATACATTTGATTGCGTTATGTAAGTAATGAGAATACACAGTAACGGATATTTTCGAGATGCATGTGAATACCACCTCGCAAATCAGTAGAACGGTAAATAACAACTAACTACGGCGGTTTCGGTTTTGATTGCGGAATATGGACTCGTCCGCCTCTTAGGGTACCGGGTACGTTCTTGTACTTTGACTTTGTTTAGGGTACATGTCTGTATACAGAAACGTACCTGGGGTATGTTTCTGTAGTACCTGCAGCTGACAACGACCCTTCAGCCTCAGTGTGTGTGTGTGTGTGTGCGCGGGGTCCACTTGCTTTGGGGGTCGTTCACATTGTACATGTTTATGAACGGTCCCAAATGAGTCATGTGTGCTTGGTAGTTCAGCCACGTTACCTAATGTCGTGTTGTAAGTTGAATAACTTAAAGGTCACATAAAACCCTAGGGGGTACAAATACATAAATCACTAACTGGCATCGTTATAAATGAAACCCCGTCATTAAAACTACTCATTTCTGACCTTTAATTGACTTTAAATCGACCTTTTGACAACAGTGCACAATTTTCACCCGCGAACGAAATTTCAACCAATCAGAGCGGGCGCGTCTCTGTGACGTCATATGAGGAATAGCTTTGAGGGCCGATGCAGAATTCATCTACATTTTAGGGGTACATGATCTTGTTTTACAGGCTTGTATAAACCTGAAATCGTGACAATTGTTGTGGAAATGAAAGCTATATGTTCTCACAATCTACTGTCATTTAATTTTGTCTCCTGCTTTGCCTAGTTTCCGAGTTACAACTTGTTTTTCTCATAGACGATTCTGTCAAAATCGATTGGTGTCGTTAGGCCCTATTTGTATAATGACTGATCTAAATTGATCCCATTTCTGTGTTATTTTACCTCGATATTTAATCATGTCATGTAAAAATCTGTTTGTATTCTCAAAACAGTGTCGGCCCATAAGTTTTCACATGCAATACAGCAATTAATACTCCCTTTGTTGTAACCCCTGTTAGGTGGTATAAACCTACACATGTTATTTGTCATCATTCACTTGATGGTCAGTTAATGAATTTATAACAGGTATAATTAGTGGTAACACACTTAGATTACCCGACAAAGGTTCCCATTTGGCATTTCTTTGTGTCTGGAGTAAATATTCAACATTATAAACATCATCGATCAAAGGATTAACCGATAACACGCTGATTGATTAATTACTTTTATCTTACACAGCGGAATTGTCAAAAGGTAGTGTTTATGTATGTAGATTTACTAATCTATACTGAATACACTCTGTCGTGTCGGTGTCTGCGTAAAACAACGTGCTCCGTTCAAAGGATTAACCGGCAATACATTGATTGATTGCCCATTATTGGCTAACTAAATTACTGTTTTTTAAAGAAAGGCGGACATTATGCAATTAGTTGCCAGGTGTGCTATCTTGGGTGACCAATGAGACTATACACCAATACCTGAAAAGATTGATCACTTTTTCGTATATTAAACCGTTAAAAAGACACATCATTTGGAACAGTTTTGTGTATATTGATGGATACATTCCTCGAACAAGGTAATGGCCTGATATTGTTCCTATAACTTTTTAATCTGTTTTAATTTTAATATTTGCATTTTGTTTTTATTCATTTGTCGTAGCATCTCAACAGAATCATTGTTTTCGCCGTGAAGTGTAATGAGACAGACAACATACACTAGGGTATTTTGCATTTTGTTTTTATTCATTTGTCGTAGCATTCAACAGAATCATTGTTTTCGCCATGAAGTGTAATGAGACAGACAACATACACTAAGGCGTGTGTGCGGATTATGATTCACATTGGCAAACTATAAAATGTCTAGCTATTACAGTTCTGTTATAAATTCACTATAAAGTATCAGCAGATCGTCTGCTTTTTATTTAGTTTCAAAATGCATACAAGTATGATCACAAACTAATTAGGATTATAAGACCAAATATAAAGACGCACATTGACTAGTATCTACATACTGGTGAGTGGACATTAACCATGTGAATGTAGCAAAGAAATTTATCGCGCAGTATTGTAACTTCGACCCCCACCTCGCTCCCGTGGAAGAAATCGTTATGTTATAAGTTGTGTCATGCAAAACCCGTTTGGTTATGATTCCAATACATATTTAACTACGAGTAGAAAGTAGTTTTGATTTTCTAACTTGATGAAAACAAACTATAATCTCATTAATTCTAACAGACTTTTACGATTTTAAAATGGATGGCGCACTTCTGTCGGGAACATCCGCCAGTCTGAGGATAAATGCTATTTAGATTTGTTTTCACCGAGTTAAAATCAAAACTACTTTTCTACTGGTAGTAAAATATGTATTTTATTGATGGCTAATAGGATTTTGCATGACATAGCGCTATAACATAACAATTTCTAAGGGTGTCAATATAATACTACTTACAATATTATTGTTACTTCGACCACAACCTCACTTCCGAGGAAGAAATCGTTATGTTACAAGTTGTGTCATGGAAAATCTTTATGGTCATCAATCATATATATTTTACTACAACTAGTAAGTAGTTTTGATTCTTTAACTTCCGTGAAGCGATCTGAACACAAGTAAGATATCGTTTCAGGTTTCCACAACGCTCGCTTCGCACTCACAAACATAACCCATTTAGCACGAACTGCGGGGTCCTGTGGAAATCTGTGCATGGTGACACCATCGCCCGACCCCTAGGAGCAATTGACGACAAAGCAACGATTCGACATGTCGTCGTTGATGTCGAGAAATCATTAAAATGATGAGCATGCTACACACTTTCTATACAACTAACTGAAAATCGTTCCTCATATGACGTCACTGCAGTGCTCTGGCGACAGAGTTACGTAACCTGTCTGTGGTTTCGTTGGCGGGCGAGAGAGAAGCAGGCGACTTTTTGGCCACTTTTAATCGCTCGGTATTAATTAACCACAAATTTTTAAAGAATAAAGTTGGTGTTCCGCATAAGACTAACCACAGATCTTTCATATGTAATGGTTAAAAGAGTAACAAAAAACAAAGTTTAGTGGTTCTTAAAAGTTAGTGTTAATCGCCAAACCGTGTGATTATCGACAGCTGTACTTTTGCGTTATTTTTAGATCTTGCCTAGTCTATTACGGGTATAAGGGGTGGCAGGTTGTGTCTAAAGATCGTGTCATTACCTGTGTTATGGACATTCTAAGTTATCACATCGTGTCGAGGGTTTTATCAGTTCCGAGTGATGGTTTTATTCCCCAAGACGAGTACATGCATACCCATAAACATCACCATCACACACCAACCCCTAGCCATACTGCTAAATATTTTGCTTTAGATTTATATTTCATTTTGGCATATATGTGTGAGATAACGTATTTGTTTCCACTTGGAAACACGTTACAATAATAGTGCCAATACAAATCCTTGTTCTGGAAGCTTTTTATCTGTTGGAATGTGCATCTGAAGCTTCCATCTAGACGATTCAATGGAACTTGGATATCTTCACTTCATTTGAAGTGTTTTTCACCTTCCATTTTACTCAAAAGTGACAAAAAGCAGTATGTTCATATACATTTCAGAGCCTCGTTAAGACACTGCTGCAAGAAGTCGTCAATGGAAGGCGAGCTCACCTGCCCAATATGCCTGCATATATACCAGGATCCTGTCGTGATGTCATGCATGCACTCGTACTGCAGGGAGTGTCTAAAAGATTTGCATGTCAAATCCACTACAGCTGAGGAATCATGCGGTAGGTTGTGAAAACATATTTTCAGTTTCGTTAAATAGCTCCAATATGTTAAGGCTATAATATACCTGCCACCAAATGTTTAGGATTAATACTCACCATATATTATGTATATATGGTTACATTAGAGATTGATTTCTCCTCTAACTTATGGGAACCAACTGCAAACCTTATGCAGATGAACTGCACGAGGATCATGCATCAAATTGCTGAAATGCATGTGCAAATATCATGCATGTGAACAGAGCTGAGTTCCATCATTTATTTAACTCATGACAATAATCTTTTCAACGTTACAAATTTGTTTTATAATACACTAGTTCATGTGTAAGCAATACCTTTAAACAATATGGAGTATTTTGCAAACTTCAGTTTAGAACAGTTGCCAGAAGTTAGTGGCTATATTTACGCTAGTTATTCTGAACTTTTGAAGGGAGAGTATATAAGCTACTTAAATCACTAACATATAGAATGTTCTCATAATGTTCGGTAGTAGTCTGACGTCACTGCTGGAGGGGCGGTGGGGTAGCCTAGAGGATAAAGCGTTCGTTTGTCACGCCGAAGACCGGGTACGATTCCCCACATGGGCACAATGTGTGAAGCCCATTTCTGGTGTCCCCCGCCGTGATATTGCTGGAATATTGCTAATAGCACTCACTCATCGCTGGACCTATCATAATAAGTCCTGACTTCTAAACAACATGTTCACGCCCTCACTTCTATTACCTGTGAAGATCCGGATTAGTCTTCAGCAGCCCATGCTTGTCGTAAAAGGCGACCAACGGGATCGGATGACTCTGTGGACATATGCCATTGTTTCACAACCCCGTAGACGTTGATCACTGGATTGTATAGTCCAGACTCAATTATTTGAAGATGCTGCCATACAGCTGGAATACTGCTGAGTGTAATGTTAAACAACAAACATCACTTCTGTTTATCCAACCTCTAATGACCACTTAACGCTGCTCAAACTGCAAACACAAGAGCCATAATCACATAACTGATATATTTTTGCTGTTCCATAATAGTGTTCACTGAACACTGGTTTAAACTTATCCATACACCATGCAACTGCCTCTCGATTAATAACAGCTACTTCCTGTGTTTCCTAGACACACGTTTAAAGACCAGCAACACGCTGCCCTGCCCCGCCTGTCGAGCAATAACAAGCTTTGGCCTGGAGGGTGTTGATGGCCTGCCCTAAAAACTTCACCCTAGCAAGTATATGTAGGAAGTTCAAAGAGACCTTCCGACAGCCTCCTGCCCCGGTACCTCATGAAACTTGCAAACAAACACCATCGAACGAGAGAAGCGTGTACTGCAAGGCATGTCGGGTCATTGTGAAGAGTGGAGATCTATGGCCAACACATCGCTATCACGTCACAGAGGACCTCGAAACTGAAATTACAAAACAGCAGGTGATAAGAATGATCGCGGAACTTCTGTGTGAAAACATTTCTTTTGTAAAGTTCTGGTATCTAAAACAAATATCAAATAATAGCTGCATACATGCAAATTTGAATAAGCGTCTCGAGTGATTTAAAAAACAAGCAGCCGTTACCAATGTTTACAAATGTGTCCGAAGTGTACGTGATCATGCTCTTCATATTGAATTAGGATGGTACCAACTTTGCTCTTGGACATTCCGTTTCATCTATACATCAACTGACCTCATGAATGAAAGAACTGGATGCGAATTATCTCTGGGAATAAAAGATACTCTCGAGAAAATTAGGAAATATGTGATAAGAAAATACAATGTATGAGGATATTTGTCTGAAATGTCAAGATTATATGCCCTTTCTAATACATGATTCAAATTCTGAAAATATGTAGGGATTCTCCAAATCTCATTCTACCAGTGGGGAACAGTCCCATGCCATTTTCTTTACGTGTAACATAAACCGTAACTGACAAGATATGCACAATGAATTTTTTACTGCCATTTCATTTGAAAAATGAAGCATTGTTAAAAAAACAACACTATTTGAATTTTTTCAAAGTAACACTGGTAAACGGATCTCCACAGGTTAGATTGCCTTTTTCTCAGGGGTTACTTGTTTTCTTTCTATCAAATATTTTGGAACTTGATTTCGTGGGCATTTATAAGTATGCTGCCAGTGAATCAGGGTAAATTGTTGCCGTCATTTGGTGTGTTCATACCATGCGACATCTCTCCCTAGGTCAAACTCTCCACTTGCCGTCAGGAGCTGGAAAGAAGTCGCACTAAGGAAGAAGCTAGACTGAAAGCAGCGCTGGTTGATCATTGTAACAGACAGGTACTTACTTGCTTAGAATAGCCATGCTGTCCTTCTGAAACTTGTTATATATTTGTGAGAAAATATCAGTGGATTCTGAACGATTCACACATTAAATATGTAAGAGGCGACTAACGGGATCCGGTGGTCAAGCTCGCTGACTGGGATGACACATGTCATCGTTTCCCAACTGTGTAGATCGATGTTCATGTTGTTGATCCCTTGATTGTCTGGTCCAGATCTGATTATTTACAGACCGCCGCCATATAGCAGGAATATTGCTGGAGTGCAGCGTAAAATTAAACTCACTCACATATATAATATACGTGTTATTCACCCTATTAGATTGACATGCATTTAAAAAAATATATATATAACCCTAACCCGGACACACAGATGCATCAGTTTGTCATATACAACAGGAACAGATGCAGAATCAAGAAGATGCTATCAATTCATTGGCTGAATCCATAGAGGAACGTGTTCGATCACGGAAAAAAAGAAGTTCTAGAAAAGATAGAGTCCTTGAAAACACACAACAAGGCGACTTTTGAGACCTATCAGAAACAACTCCAGTCCTACATCTCCACTGTCGACAGCATCACTGCAGCTGCACTTACAATGGATGAACAGAGACTGGAGGGAGAAGAAGGTCAAGTCGGTTTTCTGCAGGTAGACAAAGCGTTTTGTAGAATATTAATCAGCTTGTTGTTTTACATCCTCAGTTAAAGTTCATGCATTCAGACATTCACAATATTTTACTCCAGCACAATCTACATCGTCGGGGGAACACTGCCAGTCACCATATCGTTTATTATTGACATTTAGACGCCTATGATTACGCCTAAGTCTCAATTTTAGAAATGATAATTTTTAAACGCCTATGATTACGTTAAAATATGTCTACAGGAGGTTCCACAAAATATAGAGAATCTGTGCATAAATGGAATTGATGTATGTATCACCAACCCCCCTTCTCTTCAATTGTATAAATTCCTTTCTAAATGCTAACCGATCCCTACCGACACTGACGACAATCACATTATTTCAGGTGGTGGACGACGTCTTGATACAGACACAGCGGTGAGTATGTAATTCACTGAAGCTTTAATGTCAGGAAGAAATGTCGAGATCCTTTCATTTCGTTTCTGTTTAACTCAGCAACATTCCAGCTATTAAGGCGGCAGTCTGTATACGTTAACATGTATCAACCAAGTCGGCGAGCCTGACCACCCGATCCTGTTAGTGAGAATCATTTGTACAGTCATGTTGTGTCCTTTAGTTTGTCTGAAATATATACCTTTGTCCACTTTTTATCGTGTTTTGAAAAATATTGCAAATGGATATGGCATTGAGCACCAGGGAGGCGCAGGTAGGCCCAGAAAATTGACTGTCGGTGACAGGAGGCGGCTTGGTATTCTTGTTTCTAAAAACAAACGAAGGAGTTTAGAAAACGTAAGGCTGGATATGATTGATAGAGGAACTGTGGCTGTCTGTAAGGAGACAATTAGAACTGAGCTGCATGCAATGGTTTGCAGAAAAGTCGAGGAATTCCATCACCGATCATGAAACCTGAACAAAAGGAGTGAAGGTTGAACTGGTGCTTACAGCATAGAAATTTTAACTGGGACAATGTGATTTTCTCAGATGAATGTTCTGTGTGGCTGTTTCCTAATACACTGAAATTCTGGACCAAACAAACTGAAAAACCTTTGTATCAGCACCCAAAGTACAGTCTGAAATTTAACGTGGGGTGGCATATCTGTGTTAGGGGCAACGCCCCTCTGTGTATTTGAAGGGAATATGAACAGTGAGCGGTACACAGATATTCTCGATGGACATTTACTTCCATCTGCTCATGTGTTCTATGGAAAATTTTTGATTTTCCAGCAGGACAACGACCCAAAACATCGCTCAAAGCATTCACAGGCCTGGTTTCGGACCCAAAATATGACATTATTAGATTGGCCAAGCTATAGCCCTGACCTAAATCCAATAGAAAATGTTTGGGGACTTATGAAGGAAAGTGTCAATAAGAAAAATCTGACAAATATTGCTGAAATGAAAGAAGAGGTGGTTCGATATTGGGACAGCATGGACCACGACTTTCTAACTTCTTTGAACAGTAGTATGCCCCGCCGCATTGAAACCTGCATTGCTGCCCATGGTGACTTGACAAAATACTAACTGTTTACCTGTCTTTGAGTCTGGAGTTATGTTCTGCTAATATTCACATTTAAAACGTGAGTAATGAGTGAAAAAAAAAAAAAATTACAATCTTTAAATTCTCAATAATTTCTGGTTGTACTGTGTAAACATGGTGGTAGTCATAATTCTCCATTTCGACGTTTGAAATGTAAATGCAAGGCTAAAGCTATTACAAGTATGTTTGAAATACAAGCAACTAATAATTTTACCCGAGTAACTTTTAAAAAATATATTCACACTTTAAACACTCAAACTGGTTCGAATTGCAGACTGGCAATAGTGGATGATGTGCCATTTTGTTTGGGCATGCCCTTTCCTACATATGGTGAAGAGTTTGCTGGGAATCTAAGAGCTGACTTCACAGCACTGTTTGGTCCCTCACTAGACCAAACTGAAACAACCTTAGCCGCTAGCAACGAGGACATATCAACGGGTGAGTAGTAGCCATGATATAACCTTTTGCTTTGATCGTTGACGTCATTCTGAGAGGTTCTGTATCTCTTACTTAAAGCCCCAGTTTTGCGAATCAAATATGTATAAATTTTGGCCAAATGTTCACAGTTTGGTTCAGTTCACATTAGTGACAGTTTCTGTGAAATCATTTCTCCCTCTTGATTTAGAGCACAGTCAAGAGGAAGTTTCCACTGGTGAAGAGGTTGTTGCTGCAGCAAATCACAACGTCATCCAAGGTTTGTTATACGCTTCTTTTGTTACATCAACGGGTGAGTAGTAGCCATAATATGAATTTAAGATTTGATCGTTGACTTCATTCTGGGAGGTTCTGTATCTCTTACTTAAAGCCCCAGTTCTGCGAATCAAATATGTATATATTTTGGCCAAATGTTCACCGTTTGGTTCAGTTCACATTAGTGACAGTTTCTGTGAAATCATTTCTCCCTCTTGATTTAGAGCACAGTCAAGAGGAAGTTTCCACTGGTGAAGAGGTTGTTGCTGCAGAAAGTGAAACCGGAAATACACATTTCTGCTGGACACCAACTTACAACGTCATCGAAGGTTTGTTCTATACTTCTTTGTTACCTTCATACACTGTCCACCGCATGCAGAGAAAGTGTCACAATAAATCATGTGTTTCACATTCAGTCAGCGAAACTCCACAAAATCATTTATTTGTAGTGATGCTATTCCCTGGAAAACACTAACCTCTTGTAAGAAATACTCATCCCAGTTTCTTGATACTTAATTGTATTGAACCCAGGGATCCCAGCATTATTCACTCCGCCATCATTGCTTTGTGATTTCAGGCATCTGAGGTTGTTGTTACCATTGGTAAGACTTTGTCATGTGAGGATGTGAACAACAGTTGAATGTCTTTATCGATTGATCATTTAACATTTACATGATTGTATCAGGTGCAAACTTTGAGTGGGATCCAGATGACTGCAGTCCATCACTTGCGATATGCGAGGACTGTTTGTTGGTGACGGACGAGCGATGGGAGGATGAAGAGATTCAAGGTGAATGTGCCCACAATTCCGGTAACTGGAGGAACGTACGTGGCATAGCTTCACACATTATCTTACAAGGGAAGAATTCATACTGGGAGATCCTTGTTACATTCGCTGTCCTGAGTCATCTCGACGACAAGGACCTGATCACGGACCTCGGAATATGCAAACCTGGAAAGGAAGACGTGTATTCACCATTGAGAGAAAACTACTATTGCCTCTGTTGCAGTCTAATCAAAGATCCTGTCTCAGCAAACATTGTCATGGAGTTCTGGGATGGCCCAAAGAAGACCACATGGGAAACTCATAAGGTAAAGAAACGGATAAGACGCCGTAAGGAGGAGCATCTCAAACTCGGGTTCAATGTCGACTTTTTGAATAAGATGTTCAGGATCATTGACGTCGATGAGAACGCGGTTCTCCATAGTTTTGTGGGTATGGACTTCTCAACGGTCACTGCCGTAGCGTCTATTGAAAATGGAGACAAGGTTAGAACGACCTTGGAACTGGATTCAAATATCTATGATTTTCCATCCGTACTCTGGAACTGAAACTTAGAGGAATACTCTGAAGTGATGAAGCCTACCTTGTTGACCATGGAGCTTGAAAGTTAAACATTTCTTGTTATGTATATCTTTTATAGAGCCACACCTCAGTGTACATCATCACATTGAACTACTGAGAATGAATACAGAACACTGATATTCAGCAACACCCGGGCAGTTCTCGGGGAACAAGCACTGTTGTAGAACCAGTTTCCTTTCATGCTTATTAACTGAAACCTGTATCTGACACTCGTCTGAAATGATGAAAATGACCTACATCGCAAAGTATTACAATAAAATTCATTTTAACATTTTGTGGATGTGTATGTTGATCTCGGAAGACTATTGCTTGAACTTGGATCACAGAACACTGATGTATGAACACATACGTGCTGTAGAGAGTCACAAAGGGTAGCTCTCTGTCCACAATGGTATTCGATGTTACATGGCAGTATAGACTGAAGTGTCTTATGATTGTTAGTGGCAGAAATGTAATTACCTGTTGTGGTTATATTTTCATTTAGTGGAATGCTCACAGTAACTAAAAGTAGAATAACCTCCCGCCCCACCTTCGTTAGGAAATAAAGACAGGGTGACTGTCAAGATCTGCATCAAATGCTTGCCATATACAAAGAACGACTATACATGGGACAATTCATATGTTGCAGTATGCTGATTGAGCTTCACATAACCTTAAATTGAATTGATGTGTCCCAATATCAAAAGTTGGGAACCATATCAATATATGGTGATGTTATTAGCAGCTGCGGTAACTCGCTGGACTTTATAGAAGGTGTAGATAGTATTCCTAGAAGGAACGTGATTAACCTGACCAGAGTGGCTTAATGATTAGATCTAACATTATCAGTGGTCGAAATGGTGCCCAAACTGACTGTATATCTGTTTCTACACGTGGCAAAGCTGTTGGAGAATATTGAATTGTAACACATGAGGAACTCCAGTACTATTCACACTTTACTGTAAGCCATGCTAGCGGTTTATTTCAATCCTATTTATCTTGGAAGCTTAATTTAAATGAAAACTTCACCTTATTACCTGAAGAAATATATGAATTAAGTTAGAAAAAGTTAAATTTAAAGGCAATAGCGACTGAATTTTTTGTCATCCTGAAACTGTGCAACTGCTATAAAAAAGATAGATTCAGCTATTTTGTCACAAAACAATGTGAATTACATATACAATGGATTCTGTGGAACGTTGAAGAATTAAATGTGTACGAAATTGTCTCACTCGACAGTTAAAAATACTTCAGGGTAGAACAACAAAGACAAAAATGCTACAAGCCTTGGTGGTGCAGTGAGATGACAGCTGTGGGACGATCGTTGTGAGGCTGAGAAAGTGTTTGTAAAGCACAAGGGTTATAAGAATAAAGAACTGAGAAACGTATACATTTTAGACTCAGCATTTTGATCGCTGTGCCCAGCGTAGTACGAGAAAGTGTATTAATGTGGTATTATTCAAGCCGCTGAGGGAAGTAATATTTTGGAAGACTATTGGGAAGCTGGGCGTAGGTAATGAACGTTACTTGTCTTGGTGGATCTGGTGTCGGATGTCTTAGATAAGTCGAAAACAGATTTTGAAACTGTTGAATAGCCAATCTCCGATTAGCGTGCACACATGCCAGCCTGTTAACCTATTTGAAAACGAATATATGAAGAATTACACGCAATTACGATTTACCTACTGAAGTCTTACTCCGTGTGTTTCTGCCCAAGCTCTTCAATAAGTGTTAGGGGCGGTCGGGTAGCCCAGTGATTAAAGCGTTCGCTCGTCACGCCGAAGACCCGGGTTCGATTGCCCACGTGGCTATAATGTGTGAAGCCCTTGTCTGGTGTCCCCGCCGTGATATTGCATGAATATTGCTAAAAGCGGCGTAAAACTGAAAGTCACTCACTCACTCAATACGTGTTACAGTGGTGGTCTTATTCCATATGTCTGGAGGTTAGAGATAATTAATCCTATTCCGAAAATGAATTTCCCAGACCAAACAGGCCCTATAATGTATCGTGGCATCTATTTAGCATCGGTTGTATACAAGCTTTGCTGTAATTTGTTATGTTATGGACAGAGTTCAATATTATAATCGCCGAGGAGCAAAACAGTTTCCGAAAAGAGAGGAAGATATGACTCCGGACAAGTAACCTCTGTGGGACGAGAATGCTACATTTACTGCCTTCAATGATTTTAAAAACATTATGATTCTATAAGTAGATTTGTTTTGTTTGAGGAACTGGACGATCAAGGGCTAACGGAACACATGAGAAAATCTCTACCCGCAATGTGCAAAAATGTCCAGTTGTGTCCGGTTTTACGGAATAACGACTGAGTGGTTTAATGTCAGCTATGGAGTCAAACAAGGGTGCTAGTTATCACCTGCGTTATTAGATATCCACATCAACGATTTAGCTGTTACCGTAAGGGTCTCGGTAAATGTAAACTCTTCAAAAGCAAGACACGCACGGGCCAAAACTAAGTACATGTATTAAACGTATTTAAGTGTGCATCAATCGATAAAGTTTGAACACAGATGAAGGTAATTCGACACACGGATGAACATGTGTATTGTTGTCCTTGTCAGCATTAATTCAGTCCACTCACTGAACATGTG